GTAATTGAATTTGCACCAACTGTACAGGAATGCCTTTTGTAGAGGATGAAGGATCAGCTATTTAAACCACAACAATAAACAGGAACCAAGATTGTTGTAGACATATTTAGATATAATGTGACTCAGACTCCTTTTAAAAGTCATTAATTTAGCTTTTCACTTGGAAAGTTGGAGAGGAAAGAAACAAGTTACTGCTTTTCTCTTATCGTCTCCATGAGTAATGTCGATTAAAGTTTTCCTTTTCTCTTTCTGTGAGAATAAATGCTTTAGACTGTCAAAAGTTATTCATCATCTAATTTACATTTTTCAGTGTTTGTCCAGTTAGGTTAGCAAGTCTTCTTCTATTCAGCTTTCACCATTTGTTCTCAGCCAGAGCCGCATTGGTTTACTTAAGAGTTTGCACTTGTAATCAAGTCTAGCAATTCTCAAAATCAATTAAAAACACACACACACACACACACATTCAGATACTTGCAGTTTCTCACCATCTTTCAGTCACTTCTCTCGTTTCCAAAGAACCGCCCACATAAAGGTTATAGGTTAAAAATGAAAGCAGCGAACATGCTTCACTCACTGAGCTCACACACAACATAACTGAAATGGCTTGTATGTGGTCAATCTAAGGGATATGAGCTGCATCTTAAACAAATATATTTAACATATGACATATGATTATTTTACCATTACTTTATTACTTTATTGATTATGTGTTACTGATATGTTTCTTAGATAGATGAAATAGATCATTTCATTAATGAATGAGACAAACTATCAACTGCATGTCTGTTGTGTTCTCTCTTTGGGAAATCAATCCTGTTCCTGGTGCTCAGATGAATTAATCAGGTCATTAAAGGAGACTTTTTTTCATCTGATCAGGATAGTGATGTCATGTGATGGATGAAAATCATATACTTTTTGTGAGTGGTTGAAATCCTGCCAGATTAAACTCATTGTGTAGATAAAAGCTCTCTGCAACGCTGCACAAAAGTGCACTCTTACATTTTGCAAGGACCCTCAACCTTACTCTTGACTCAACCATTTTAGTTGACAACCTCTTCATTTCTACATGTTTAAAGCTGTTTTGTTAATGATGTCTAATTATACTGAAGAGTGAGGTGAAAGCTGATTCCTCCATGTCACCATTGTTGAGAGGCTTTAAATCAGATGAGTTGTCCACAGCTGACTGCCTGATATCCCACTGAAACCCTCTGGACAGACTCCGATCTGTCTGGGAACCTGCAGTGACAGAGTTCAGGAATGTCTTTCACTGAGTGAGATTCACTGACTGAACTCTCACCACTGATCAGATCGACAGAATGAGAGAAACATGTGAATCTGACTGTTGAAATGCAGTTTCTGGTCTGAATGTTATCTACTCATGTAGTACCTCAGTCGACGCTGGCACTGACCCAGCTCTCTGAGCAGAATGGATGTCCATCCAAGTAGAGACAGAGCCTGTTAGTGTAACCATGTCACTTTTGGTCAGATCGACAGTAACTTAGTTCCCACATGTTGTTTTAGGTTTACAATAGTACAGAAACATAGACTGTTTTCCTTTGTATTCACTGTGAGATTTTTACAATTTCATTTTGAACCCTCCCAGTGAAGACCACTCTGATTACTTCATAAAGATCCAAAACAGACTCAGCTAGAATAGAATGGGTTTCTGATGTATAGTCATTCCTGTAGCTCAACAAGGCACAACCTGAATAAACAAACGTGGTATCATCACCTGACAGGTGAAAGTGTTCATTTTGGATGCCACTGGACAAAGAGCAGGGATCGATCTGATATAGGCTGTTTGACCTTGACCATGGCATGAGAAAGTGAAACATGAGGAGTCTTCTCTCTGGTGGGTAACAAATTAGAAAAAGTGGTGGGTACAACTCTAAGCAAAGGCAGGACGTATTATGTTGCTGTGCATTAAAGCTTTGTCAGTAAAAATTAAATTAAATCTGATCAGCATCTATATGACAGCTGACATAAAGCAAATGATCAGGTTGGGCTCAATATCACATGATATGCCTTGATCATTCAGATTTTTGAGATTGGATCGGGACATCCCTAGTTGTTACTGAAATGTTAGATGCAAAACTGCTACACAGACGGAATACTGAGACCAGATAATAGAGGACCTCACAAACTGTCATGGGATTTCCACGTCAAAGCACAGGAGGACTCTGAAGCGGGTAATTAAAACCACCTACCATTGGTACTCTGCTACGCAGCATTAGTGATATTGGTAAGGTGAGGTGCCTGCACAGAGCCCAAACGATATGAAAAGACAGTTCCCTGCCACAGCCACAGCATGTTTACCCTGATGCCATCTGGGAAATGGTACAGAGGTTTCCACTTCTTCCCTCAGGCTGTAAGACTGTTAAATTCTTCATCAAAAATTCATCATACAAATTTTAAGTTACATTTAATATGACTTATTTATCATTTTTTATAATGTTAGCATAAAGGTAACCATATCAAAATATTATTCTACAACCTTTCGTAGTAAATGACGATAAAGTAACCTTGAATCCAGAATGATATATTTATCTATATCTGCTCCTGGATCTATCGACCTAGAATATGGAAGAAATTGTGTATTATATTCATAGTTGTGTTTTTATTAGTGTATTACCTGATAATAGGAATTGTTGTGTATATCTTGGAATGAGACAAATATATTTACATGTTGCAATGCTGTGTTTGTACAATAGCTCAGAACCCACAAACTAAACACTGGCTTGAGGGGGCCTTTCTCGTTTTTTGTGGCGACTGTAGATTATCCTACATGCCTGGAAGTGGAGGGCGAGATGAGAGGTATTCAGTCAATTGCATTCTGCAACCTCACTGCTCAATGCATACTGTTCCTTTGATGAAAACAACAGTAAAAAAAACATTGAAAATACATTACAGCTGTTGCTTTTTTTTCTTTGAAGGCTTTTCAAGCATCTATGAAATCTATTAAATGTCACTGTGTGTATCTAGATAAGTGTCTAAGTCCGGAAAGAAGAATGCTTGTGGTTAACCGTCCTGTTCAGCTCTAGGAGTCGTGCTCAGACTGCTCCTCTATCAACACAGTCGGTCGACTGGTTACCCTGTCCAGGCAGGAAACCCCCAAAGCAATCAAGCTGTGCCATACCTGTAGAAAAACGAGATTCAATACATTTATGCATGAAATATGTTTTTGGGTTTTTCACTGAAACATTGAGAGTGTGTGAGACGGAAAACCTGCAAACTTGTGCAACACTTTTTCTCTACTCTCAAGTCTACTTCCAGTGATCAGCACCTCACTTCAACCCTTGGTGTGCATTACTTTTTTTTGTATTAGAGACAGAAAACCTGGTATGCACCAAAATATATAAAAAATACCAAGGCAAATTCATTGTTTGTGAAAATCCACTTCTTAATAAACCTGATTCTTAATACGATTAGGTTTACTTTGCAAACAAGTAATATTTAATGCATCTAATTACAGAAAACTGATCAATAGATCACACCTTTTCTTATATCTGTATCTTTTTATAATTTTCTTAATTATGAAGGGCCTTGACTGTGGTAATAACTGTGTGCAAAGCTGCATTGCCCCTTAGACCTTATATCACTTCTTTTTTTTCAATTTAAATATATTGAAAGAGTGGTAAAACTGGTTTGATTTTCTTGAACTGCTTTTGTTTGTGCTCACACTTGTCTGCACCTTGTGCATGTGTTCTCACAATTAGAAGTTCAGGTATGAAGATTAGACAGATACTCCTCTTAAGTTAGTTTGAAAACTGTGATATAAAAAGTTAAATTCCTACAAATGATCTATTCATTTGATGCATGTGCTTATTGGTATAGGGTAAAAAGCTAACTACATATGCAGCATTCCAGTAGGTAGATTACTAAGTGTAGCAAGATCTTAAGGAGTAATACATCCACAGACAGACTGTGTCAATAAAATTACATTAAAAAGGTTAAAAAATGTTAAAATCCAAAAAGTGTCTGAGAGGTGAATGTAATGTTGCAGTGCTATAACTCACCAGGTAGACTACAAAGCACAGATAGGCTAAAGAGCCAAGACCAGCGAATACATAGACCACCACACTGTTCAGCGACATGATGTAAACCACAAAAAAGTAGATGTTGATTGCACAAACTGCCAGGGTGACGATGACTCCGAAAATCTTACACACCCTAAAGACACATACAGTTTACTGATTATTTGTTTCATTATTTATTGGCCTGTGTAAAAACAAAGGAGCTGTCTTGCAATTTTTTTAATATAAAACATCAACTAAACAGCTGTCAATATATGTTGGAAAATGTAGGAAAGTTCAGGATACTAATCTGGTCATCAGGTTGTCAAATACAAACATTTTGTCATGCCCCTTGCCGTTTCATACAAACGTTGACTTATGCCATGATCTTTTCCCAGGTAGTTTTGGTGCCTAATCCTAACCAAAGTAATACAAGGGATACAGCTAACAAATATAGACTGTGTAGAGGCATGATAAAGTCAATAATTAGAAATTACTAAAGAGAGAAGAAATTAATGATAAAAAAAAAAATCACTCACAGTCCGTTTGCAAATTCATTCATAATGGATGTCAGACTGGTGAAGGTCAAGATTGGAATCAAAGCAAATGGTAGCTGGTGAGTAAAAGAAAGTCAAACAAAATGTTGGACTAGGATTGTGCTACAAAACAGCAACGACATGGCAGAATGTGTAAGAGTAGGGAAATAGCATATGTTTTAATTTTAATTTTAAAAAAATGTACCCTGACCTGCACGCTTTGAAGCACATTCAGGATGTCGTTCATCCACGTCAGATGCTGAACATCCTTTGAAAAGGCTACAGACAGAGTAGGCACGATGGCTATGGAGCGGGTCAGCAGTATTCGTTTAAAACGAGAACACTGTAGGTTACAGAAACCCTTGAAAGTAAAAGCATAAAAAGAATTAGCTTTTTCCCCCAAAAATCCAGGTATATAACCAACAGACATTCTTACCTCCATAACAAACTGCCCAGAGTAAGTGCCTGTCATTGTGGAACTTTGTCCAGCTGCCAATATTCCTATTGCCCAGATGTAGAGGGCTGCAGGACCAAAGAAACATTCCAGGACCACTCCCTGAATAAACAGACATACACAGATAAATAAATAATCTACCATAGATGTATCTGTCCATCCCTTAAAAAAAGACA